TTTAAAAGCTGTGACTTTAAATATTTTCTTCACCAAATTTACTTGTATCTGACATGAACACATTTTCTAGAAATAGAATTTTATCTAGATTTAATTTGGAATTTTGGCTAGTCTAGCATTAGGAGGAGTTTCATTTGCAACATTAAAAGAAAATTCTATTTCTGGTTATATTCCTTAGAATTCAAGTGGTCGGAGGCTCCACTGGTGTGTAAGTATCTATGTTTCCAAAGCACCCGGGCACTCTGTAGAGCACCATCCTGCTCGCTTGGAGAGAGAACTGACCCTGCATTCACCGCGCACACGAAGTACCTGCTGTGTCCCCACAGCCCCTCCACCTTAGTTAGCATTGTTCCCACCTACAGAAGCGGCAACTGAACCAGGGCCTGTAAGTTTAATTAATTTGTTAGTACTTTAATTAATTTGCCCCAGATTCCATGGCTTATACACGGCTCATCAGAATGATAACCATCCTGCCACCCCCAGCAGGGTGTCTGACCCTTAGTGATGGCCACTCACGCCGTGGCTGGATTGGGCTGCTTCCTGGGGTCACGGCCCATTTCTCAGACTCTCATGCCCGGATGACAAGGCCACACTGCTCTCTGTTAGGCTCGGTGACACTGGCCACCAGCTATTTTCAGAAGAACAAGGACATCTGCGTTTATACTGTGATACATGCTTCAAAAACATTTTTGCCAGACCTAGCACACGTGGTAGTTACCTGCCGCGTCCTTCGGGGTAGGTAACCCCCACTGACTGGTGAGCAAATCCTGCGTGTGGCCGAAGGGATTTACTAGGCCGGGCGTGGTGTCACACACCTGTAATCCCAGCACTCGGGAGGCTGAGGCAGGAGGATCATTGCGAGTTCAAGACCAGCCTGGGCTACAAAGTGAGCTCAAGACCAGCCTGGGCTACAAAGTGAGCTCAAGGCCAGCCTGAACTGCATTGCGAGACCCTGTCTCAAAAAGACAAAAAACAAAATAAAAAAGGAAGAGATTTACTGAAGACTGAAGACCCAGCCTGGGCGTGGTGGCATCCACTGGAAGGTCTGGAGCCTGAGCGGAAGGAAAGGCAAGAAGGAAGGCCCGCTTCGGTTCCTTGAGAGCCGCTCCAGGCTTCACGTGCTCCTCGGCGTCCTCTCCTGGCTGCAGCGCCTTCGCTTCGGGTTTGCAGCGCGGAGCCCGGGGCTTCCTGACGCGGATTCCACGTGTGCGTCCTTCCATCTGCAGCTCGCAGATGGCCCTGGCGCCTCTTCCACACCTGACGGCGGCGGCACTGAACGCCTGCCTCGTCAGTCCTTAAACACGTCTTGCACTCTCTCCCCCAACCCCGCCCCGGTACCAGGAATCAAACTCATGACCTCGCGCTTGCCAGGCAGGCGCTATGCCGCTGAGCTAAATCCCCGTCTTGTGTTGTCTTATGCGAGATCTGTTTCTCTAGCAGCATCGCATGTGCTTAAGCATTGCAACCTACGTGTATGCACACAAGCAATAATGCAAAAATTGTCAAGAATATAGATTGAGTTTATAATAAATGCTCAAAGTAAAAAAGGGATGGAGATATAGCTCAGTGCTACGTCAGTGCCCATGGGTGTGATCCTCAGAAACGCTCGCGCGCACACACGCACACACACACACACACACACACACAC